CTGCTGAACCAACGATGTACCTCTGGTATAGAAGTACAGTACTGCATATCAATCTACATTTAAATTCGCACGTAGCAAAAACGTTCGCACATAAATGCCAACCTTTTCAAGCGGTAATTTTGAACCCGAGCACCTGCATTGAAAACCGATAATTAAATGTCTTCAAAATTATTTTCGAAACAAATGCACACTCCCTTTATTCACACGCTAGACCATTATTAATGACAATGTTTTTGACTTGTTGGAAAAAAGGTGAAAATCCTGTTATCAACAAATTCTAATTAGTTTTGAGGAATTTATTTTTTATCCATTTTCTTCTTATAACCGTGTGACGGTAACAACCTTCTTCATATCACTTCATAAGTTCGAGAACTTGCAAGAATATGAGGAGCTTCCTGGGAGCACTTTGTATCATTCTGATCAATATAGAACTTATTTAGAGGTAAAAATGTCATAGATGAGGAGTATGTCATGGGTCCATTGGATCCCAAACAAAGGAATTGAATTGTACAGCCATCAGAATGCAAGTTTTGAATAAGAACTCAAACTCTTTTTCAGAGGAGTTTATTCTCATTGCCCAGTTCATCAATTGGCTGTTAATTCAATATAATGGCAGAGTCAATGGTTACATTGGTTGGTTAGCTCAGAATAATGAATGAGGATGGGTCAGGAAGAAATCAGGTGATTTCTTCCTGGCTCAGGATTGGCCGATTCAGGCAAAATCGAAGAACTGATGACCACTTCTTGTCCTTGAGTGAGGCTCACTGGCCTGGGAAATCCAACAAGTTTTGGGGTCCGGTTTCAGCCGAATGCTGGAGCTACGTTGCTTCGGTCCGCAACAGAGTAATTGCCGGACTCAACTGTAATCTTTGTTACGTTATGCTTCATATGCATTGTATCTTTGTTGAGGGTTTCTCCTGCTTTTTCAAATAACCCTTTCAGCATTAAACGCATTCAAGCATTCCCCAGATTGTATTGCTTCTGAAGAATTTGTTTGGTACGCATATCAATACCATCGGTATCTCCTTCCTCGTTGGATAGAAATGGAAATCCCTCAGAAGTGGAAATCAAAGCAATAACCCTGGGCTTCAAAGGTACCAATTTAATCGCACTTTCGATTGCAGACATGATATGAAAAAAATAAAAAACTCGGAGGGAGGAAGAAAGATTTTCCGCGGAATTTCGGGCACTATAGACCGATAAATAATTCAGGGCGCCTCGGGGTTCACGGCTCTGGAACGAAATTGTTGATTTTAAATTCTGCTCAGTGAATGAGAGCTTGATGAAGTGCACTACACTAATACAGTACATTATTGTACTGGCCATCCCTCCCTTTGCGTAATTTACGAGCGTGAACAGTATTTTGGCATGATTCAGAGTGTGCCTGAGTTATTTCTTGTCAAATTTTGTGCAGGATATGGGAGCATAATTCCGGAAATTATATTTTCATCATCAAAGAACTCGCAGTCCTGTATAAGTGTATATCGCTTCGAGGAGCAACCTATTCAGATTCGTATTATTTACGGACACTTCCTGTGGTGAAGAAGGGAAGAGCGACGCAGGGAAGCACTGTTCTCTTCTATAGCTTCAGTACTGATTTTTAATGATTATTTGATTTACTCGTATAGTAAAATTTATTCGTTTAAATTCACAATAGGCAGGATGTCGATTTTCACCACGTTCCAATCAGATTTTATCATTTTATCGAGGGTAAATTTAAATTTTCACAAAACCATTCGAAACACCTCCTGAAACATCGTTCTCTCATGGAACAATTGGGCGTAGCAAAAATGCTCGGAAACTTTTCCCTCTGTGTCCGAAAAAAGCTTCATGTGCTCACTGGATGCCCTGTGGCTTGTTCGCGTCCACGTATGCCACCAACGCTTCTTTGCCAAGAGAGGGAAAAAGCGTCTCGTCGAGTTTGCCCAGCATCAGATACGTGGCCGAGTGTCGGATATCACACTCCAGGAGTCCCCCGCTGTGCAAATAGAAAAATCTCCCGCGGCTCTTCATCGACGATGAACTTGATCATACGGAGCTCGCCGTGCATGTCACCACCTCCAACTTATTCCCAGGTCAGAACAAGCTGAGCCTTCTTTTCCTCTGCTTTTTCCTTCGAATCAGCACGACAGCGTTGGATACTCAGCGTTAAATTAATCTCTTCATGCAGTTGATTCCACTAAAATGAGCACGGAGTACCCGCACTCAGCCGGGGGCCATAAGCGAAGGTCACCAGCAGAATGAGGATGATGATGTGAAACAGAGTCTCTACTGAACTGGGAACGCTGGTAGGACGCAATAACGTTATGTGCGCAAAATCATGGATCCAGCTCACTCTCGCAATAGCAATAACATCGATGCTTCCCATTGTCCAAAGCTCTGCAATAACACCTAATGTAATCAGATGAAATGTTTTTGAGAGTCACTCCACCAGCAGTCTTTTATCGAGAAAAAAAATCAAAAGGCGCTTGCAGTACCCTCAAGAATGACTTAAACAGTACCTGTACTTTACTTTGAATTTGAAATTTAATCGAATTGATCATGCAGGTATTAACCGGTATTCAATTAATGAATTAACCAAGTCTACAATTTGGAGGATTAACGTGCACCATATAATTTCCAAGCGAATTTGTTCTCCATTCCGATGAATATTTGCACTGGTGTATGAATTTCGGAGATACCCAAGAATTTCGGTTATATTTATTGATAGCTCATAATTTTATGACTAATAATATTATAATAATAAAATTATGTTGATTATGTTGTGTTAATTATGTTGTGTTAATTATGTTGTATTAATTATGTTATGTTATATTAGCTATGTTATTATGTTCATAATTATATAGATATATGCTTGATGCCGAACTCAATTATCCGCATTGTATGATGGTCCATGAGGCTCTAATCTGAAGTAAGGCAGACGGTCCTTAAACGGATATATGAACTACATTATTCTGTTGGAGTCACACGTACCTTGATTGAGCTGTCAGACAGTTATTTCATCACTGAACAATGCTGTTCTGACTGAATACCTGTATACATATTTTCAAAACAAAATTTGCATTTTATCTCGCAGTTGCAATCCTCGAGCATCATTTGATTAAAATTTTCATAAACGCTGGAAAATAAATTCATCTAAGTAAAAGTGAAGCTGTTTTTGGCCTGCGCTGTCACTTTAATTTCTTTATCTGAATTCTTCAATTGATGTCTTCACTCGTGTATTCGCGTCACCGCGAATAATAGTTGTTTTGCAAAAAGTAAAATAAAAATTCTAAAATTCTGTGTGCATTCATGCAAAAGTTTGCGAATTTTGCAGTTGAACGCCCAAATATTCGCAGACGAGGCTCATTTTCTGCAAGGAAAAGAATGAAAAACGAGGTTGAGCAAAAGCATTTCAGATTCACTGTCATTACGGTATCGCTTGTGACGATCATTCAACAATCCGTACATGCGCACACACAATATGAATAGCAGACCAAAATTAAAATCAAAAAGAAAAAAACAAAATAAACCGGTACACAAACGACGCGGTAGGAAATCCACGGTTCGACTTCAAGGAATGCCGAAGGGTAGGCAGAACGCCTCATTTCCTGTATCACTGCAGCGATCAAAATATCTTCCCTGCATGTTATTAGACAAAAATCATAATCCCTACAGGATACTGATTCGATGTTCTTTCATACACACCAACTCATCGGCTTGGCCGAATCCACACGTATGAGCCAAAAATGCCCTTCAGGCGAAGAACCGCCGAAACATTTATGCACATGCAGCAAATCCGGGCAGACCTGAAGGGCCTGCCAAGAAGCGTCCGGGCTGCTTTCCAAGTACCCGGCCGCATCACAAAATAAAAGAACCGTCTTCAAATTTCCTTACAAACGAGGGCAAATACTCAATAAAATTTTCTATCCAGGGGAGCAAAGCATTGCCGAGCTCTCCAAAACATTACGCTCAGCAACACACAATTCCCTGGCACCGTGTGCCAAGAAAACTGCCGGAGTTTTTGTCCACTCCCGACAGCGAACCGGATAGCACCGCTAAGCGTACGTTTTTGCCCAGTCGGACTCTTGCAGACTCAAAAGTTGTAAAAAAAAAAATCGCGTGGGCTTCGAATAATCACGAGGGTATCCAAGAGTCATCAAGGCGCGCGAAATGCGCGTCGGCATGCGAATTCAGCACGGATGGAGAAAAACGGACTCCGAAGCCCCGTTCGTTCGGTATCCAGAGGGTTTCTTGGGGAGAGGACGACCATCATGAGCGAAAATTTTGATTTCCATGAGCTGATCCTGCCGTTGAAAGCAATCCAACTTGCGAGTCCTCAGTCCCATCACAGACAGCGTGCTCACGCTCCGAAGATCAAGAATTTCGATCAGCGCAACCTCAAATTATATAATGGCACTGGATGGGTGCTGGGTGGGAAACCGGGCAGAGTATAATGAATCATTTTGAATTTCTCTTACCAGGGCCAGTAACAAAAATATCGCTCTCGAGCGCAGTTTCCCCGAATTAATACTGATCATGCCACTTACAATTTAGTCCATCATGACATTAGATCACCAGCAGGTCCTTCCACAATCAGCTGAATCTTTTCCCAAATTCTAAGATGCATAATTAATTACAGTACGGTATTCTCAGGATAACTTTGGTAATAAATGTGCATGGAGCTGTTTTCTTGGAAAGCTAATGCGTTTGAAAGTGCTTTCGAGCACAAAGTAGACTCAGTCCCAATTCATTTTACATGTCTTTTTTTTCCCTGTGCACAGGAGGACCGCGAAAAATCCGTCACAAATTCAAAAGTTCGGTGAAACTGCAGTTTAGATAAGCCAGTCGGAATCATAGCTGGCCGCGAAGTTGAATTGCGATCAAGAGGCAAAGAAAATTAGACCGACGTTTCGGTGAAAACCGGGATGAAGTATCAAATTCCTGAAACCCAGTCCCTGGAGACAGGAAAAAATGATATATCTATAAAGCCCCGACGCTGAAACGCATGAGCCAGTCGGTTACCGCGACAACGAATGCGACCTCGTCTCGCGCTGGTCCAGCAGGGAAGCGCCGTTCCCAGAGCCGGGATGCGGTTGTGTCATCTTTGCGACTTCAGCCTCCATTTCACTCTTGTCAAACAGTCGTTTCTTTTGCGGGATTTTGTCGAAAAACGGATGTACGAGAGCCTGCGTGGGATACGAGTCATTTCATTTACTCGGGCTTCGAGAACCAACGCTGTTCATCGCATCACATCATATCAGATGACACGCTTTTCACTCGGTGTTCGGGTACGTTGAACTCTCTCAGATGATACAGGCTCGTTTGCGTCAGCAGATATTTACACGGGATGCAAACAGAACTCTTGGGGTGCACTTGGAATGAAGTTGTTAAGCTCGAGGCGATTTTAACAAAGTAACACTTGAATGATCTTTCGCTGCCCTATCTTCGTGCTTTAAAGGTTATAATTTTTCCTGGTTTCCTGAATAATCGAACAGGCTTCTTAGATTTGAGAGGAAAGGAAGATTTAGGAAAATGCCTTTTTGCACAACGAAGATTCAATTTGAATACAGTACATGAATAGATCTACCAGCAGAGGCAACAATTTCATTTTACAAGATATCTCATCTTCTGTGATACATTTTGTTTTCGGTGGAATCTTCCGAATCCATACCCCTACATGATCAATAAAAAGACGACGCCTTTCATAAATGTATCAATGTATCACGCGCCCCTGTTTAATACGCATACACAGATTGAACAAAACTCCATTGACTTAATTGAAATAAATACTCAGTATGATGCGCATCTTCAATATTTCGTGCTGAATTTTCACAAAAAGGTAGGCATGTTACTCGAGTAAATACGGTACAGCATTCTATTTCAGTATTCCGAAAAAAAAGTATTCCGAACAGAATTTTCTACTGCTTTGATTATTTTTCTGTTGGTGTTGAAATAAGGGAGATCTGATTCTGTATCTACCATCAAAGAGCTTTGTATCATGCTCTCATAGTTGCCAGTCTGAAGAAAATGCATGTCCATCAGTAATGAATAAACTTTCTCGAAAGATATACAGTAGTGCATTAAAAAGTTATACAGTACTTCGCTGTGCAGGACATACATCTCCGTCAGTATTGATAGCAATATTCTTTGAGAGAAGAAAATCACGAGATGAACTTCTCACCTCTCGTAATGTCATCCGCTTGTGTGGTTCATAATCGAGCATTCTCTCTATGAGGTCGAAGAGATGAGATGAATCCTCATCTTCCTCCAGTTTGTATGACTGCAAAACAAAATTAAGTGCAATTAAGCTCTTGTTGACACCGACGTTTAAAAAATAAATGACGCCCACCTTCAAAGGTTTGCAGTTTTCTCGTACGAATCGTCCTCCTGCTGTTCGCTCGTCCCACTCGAGCTTCCCACGCGTGAAATATTTCGTCTTGGATTGTTTTGACATTCTATGCAAAAATATGTACGCATTTCAGCCGAGTGATAGTAAAAAAAAATTTTACACTCGTTCGTCGCGCATCGTCAAGCCAATACAACTACAGACGCTAAAATTTAGAAAACAAACTTTCAAAACCCATCAATGAAAAGGTAATGCATCCTTGAAAAGCAATGCAAAATCTCATCAGAAGACAGGACTGAAACAAATCATAATATACAGTAATTTTTTTTATAAATAATAGCAATTCCTCGACGATATTGCCTCAAAGCAATTGCTCGGTTAATGGCGACTCAGTGCCTATCTAACCAGACTTTCCGCTAGATGATCTTTCTGCAATCCTTTGAGCTCAAAATGTATTATGGCCTCTAATGCAAGACCCTATCTAGTTTCATTCATCACACATATACATTTCCTTTTTATGCGGACGTCAGGCTTCTATTTTTGTTTTGTAAGCTAGCGTTGCTATTGTATGTTGGCTTCCAAAACGGCCAAAACGATATTAAACCGACTTTCGGGGACAATGCTGTCCATCTTTCTTTATCACAATGGAATGACTCAAAGCAGACATATTCGCAAGACGTTGTCAAATAAAAAAGATTTCGCACTGCTGCTACTGTTTGATAGGTAATAAAAAAAACTGGCCAGGAAATTTCCGCGAAGATTACCGCAGAAAATTTTCGGAGGCGAATACTGAACAAGCCCCCATTTTCGTTATAATGTACAATATTTTTAAAAGGTATTGCTGCTGCGTTGTGCCGTTTTCCCCAGCAACAAGCGAAACTGAAAATTCGTATCGTCACAAAAACAACATATCCTCTACAATAAATTATGTAATGAATATCTTTGAACTTGGAGCAGCTATGCAATCAAGGAAGTTAGGGGTCTTTTTATGCATAAATAAAAATTGGGAGAGGGAGCCTTGATAAGGCCGCGTGCAAAAACCCCGGTTATTTAGGTTGAAATGTCTTCTTCTCATCCTCGCGTTGGTTGGGTAAGAGCAAAAAATTCGAAATTGATTTTGTCCATTACAGCTAATAATATGTATTCTATATTCTGTTCGCTATTATTTCCTGAACAAATCCACGCGAGATTTCATCTCTGAATTTGTTCATAAATAATTTTCGAGACCCGGACTACCAGGAGCGAAATTTATGTTTATTGCGAGGGACCAAAGGGGAAAACAGTTTTTTTAGTATAGCAGGCTTTCCAAGACTCAAAAACTTCGTGCAATGGAACGTCGAACTGAAAAAGTTGATTCATACGAAGTTTAAACCGCAAGGGATTCAACAGAAGTTTGCGGCCGCAGTTTTATTTGGGGGGGGGGGGGGTAAGTGACGTAGAAGCTGCTGCTTCCAATTTAGGTTCGTTTGTTGAAGAAACGCAAATTGGTAGCCGAGAATAAATAATACTCTAGAAGAAAGTTTCCGCATTTGTCACATGACTGCTAACAGAAGTACGTATTCACGGAACGGACGCGAACTTTAGTCTTTTTCTATGCACCATCACGATGTTCAACAATGGTTCTGAAATATACATTATAGTCACATCTGGGATTTTTATTTGGTGCGGATCATTCAAAAGGATTTTAAAAACCACAGGCCAGACTTTTCTCTGAACAATGAAACAACAGGAGTTTTTTTTTTTTCGGAAATGAACAGTACCTGTAAGGTATCGGGCCAAGAATGCGTTCCATCATGGCCAAATGCTCCCGATTGTCATGGGTTTGGAAGAGAGTGATTCCCAAGTAAAGTTCGAATACTATGCACCCGATGCTCCAAACGTCGCACGGTTGACTCCACCCCAGTTCTGAAATTATTCTTGAACCCCTCACGATCTGAATCAATCATCACCTGATCCTTCTTACTAACCAAGGATAACTTCTGGGGCTCGGTAATGACGGGTGGAAACTATCGTCGAGTGATGCTCGTCATCGAACGTAGCACTTCCGAAATCGATGAGGCGAATATCTGAATCGATCACGCGTTTCACTTCCCGCTGAAATGAAAAAAAAACCACGATTGCAAATAAACCATACGCTGCAGTCCTGCAGACCAGTTCGGTCAATGTTTAGCAAGAAAAGCCCACGCTGTGAACAGATACTAGAATAAATCCCCGACTAGACTCACATTCAAACTCACCCTCTTTGATTGATAAACGGTTTGATACTCCGAAGAAACAAAAAGGATGTTCTCTGGCTTGAGATCCGTATGCGTAAGCCGGTTGTCATGGAGAAATTTGACGGCGAAGCACAACTGATACGCAATGTGGCGAACTTGCTCCATCGAGTATGGGTAGAATTGGTTCTCTTTCTATTAAAAAAATTATACGCAGATGAATTCCCTTCGTGAAGAAATACCCCGTCGCTTTCGTCCGATCTCTATACTTACCAAGAAATCGAAAACCGACAAACCCAGCATCTCGAATGCCAAACACATATGCCCGTGGTAGTCGAACCAATGTAGCAGTCTGACGCACAAGCTGAGAAAACGAAAAAAAAATTCTCACATTATATTTAATTCCAATCAATGAGACAAGGTATTTTTCGTGGAAAATAGTGGCAACTTGAAATCAAGAAGGAGAAAGTAAACATGATGTTTTAAATGCTTTCATAAATAGACATTAATTTCCAGATCACGCTTATGTTGGTAAAAGTAGATTCAATCTGGGAAGATACAAGTTTTATTTATTCGAAAGCGGTACATTACTCGTACACAATAGAGCTCTTTTCATTATTTCCGCCTCGAAGGCCCATTGATTCTTTTATTGTAACAATTCCTTCTCCGTCATTGAAAGCGCATCAGCTTATGATGCCGTTATTTTGTATGCATCAACCAAAAAATGATCTTAATATCGCATGAAATTATAGGAAATAACCCACTGTCTATCATCCGGGTCCCTACGACGCAACGTCTCAAGAACATTGATCTCGAGTCTGGCAGCCTCCCGGTATTTCGACACGTTCTTTATGATTTTCACAGCAAGCGTTCGATCCCTGTGGAAAACGAAACAGAGAATCTTCTACATCCTTGCCAAGTTTCGTAGGTCACGAGTTCGAGGACTGTCTCAAGAATTACGAGGAAACAAAAGGTCAACATTCTTGCACCTATAGATGCGCGGGTCTTGTATTGAGAGAGTCTTTTGGCTTCCAAACACACGAGTTCTTCACGCCGAATGTTTTTACTCATGGTCGTACTTTCAACTGTCAAAGGGGATCAGAAACGAGACAAACCCGTCCGCGTCTAGCCACAAACCATAAATAATGTATCTTATATATTTATCAACACCAGAACTCACTTGTGCGTGTCTTGCACTTTCACGACTTTCCCGAAGGTTCCCTCTCCCAGTGTGGCTAGAAGCGTATCTGTAAAAATGCACACATTTTAAAACATGCGGAAATTGATCAGTAAGCAATAATCCCTACTCACAGCGAGCATTGAGCGTGTCGCCGATGCGGTAGATCAGGTGGCCATCTTCGTCATCCTGGATTGACTTGGCCGACTGCTTAAACGCAAAGAAAAATTCCATTAGGAAGTCTTAGGAAAAAAATTAAACTGGTGATAATTGCGGAATTCGAAGAATTAAAAAAAACAGTATCATGCACTGGGATGAGGGCAGGTATGGCATCTAAGACTTGAAGGGGCGGGGCACATCAGAACACAACGGTATATTTTACCTCTCCATGCATGGTGTGAGTATTTTCATGAAAAAATAATAAGGCATTGAGCGAATGTACATTGATCAAAAATAAGAGAAGCCCACAAATGAATAGTATGGCAACAACAAAAGCGATTCAGGAAAGACCCCTATACCTATGATGAATGCTTTAAATATTCAATAACCAAGTAATTCCAAGAAGGAAGCTTCGACTGAATCACGTTCGGTTCGTTCAACGAAGAAATGCCAAGTTGCAAAAATAATCACACCCAAGGCGTCCAAACGTGTTTATGCAGGAGCCATTGTTAGCAAGCAACGAGGCATAAGATGATTTCCGGTAGTATCATCAGTCAACGAACATGTTATGCCAGTCGACATTCTCGATGAGCACTCGGCCATAGTTCCATCAAACAATTACTCATTGAATCCTTTGCTTTGGCGATCACTCCTGCTTTGCTGAGGCTTTGACGAAAAAAATTTTCGTACAAGTTGGGAACAATTGTGGGATACATGTATGGACGATTCTCGAGAAGAATTCATTCTTTATAAATGCCCCGTATGAAGAAAATGCCGCAGACGAGTTATAATAGCATTTTAAGTGGAAAAGGTATTGTACTGCGAAATTTCATGATGTTTTGGGGAAATGAAGCGCAGAATCATCAGAAAATTCTCTCAGCAGGTTTCTGAAAAAAAACATTGCCCGCGCTTTTCAAAAAGAACCGTGATGTGCCAGACATTCTTCCAGAAACGTGCAGCGAAAAGCATTTCAGGATACATAACGAGTACTGTAATACGAGCAAAACGGCGTTTTTTCGAGTGAAAAAAATTATATTCTACATAGGTTGTTGGAAGATAGGAAAGAAATACTTGTACTGCTGTTCTCCTCTTGACAGGCGCGGAATCATATGATAAAATATTATTTTTAGTTTTATATTTAACCTTTAAAGATCATAAATTGCGAGATTAAGCAAAAAAATTGAATCGGAAATCTCTAATTTATTTTCTGCATATACGTCGCAGAAGAACCCTCTTCCAATTCAAACCCGAACCCAAGCAGCAAATCAAAGCATCGGTAGCATCGTAGTTTCCATTCCTTTAACCGGGTGGTCTTTCATTCCAAAATAATTTGAGGAATCCACCGACAAAAATGGGCTACTTTTTGACACTATAAGCAGAATTGCAAAAAAATTGAAGCCATGATCTAAGCTTGGTCGCCGTGTATAACTCGACTTACTGAAGTGTGACACCTGCTCTCCGTGAAAAACGGAGCATGTATTTCGTTGATTCCATCAAACAATTACTCATTGAATCCTTTGCTTTGGCGATCACTCCTGCTTTGCTGAGGCTTTGACGAAAAAAATTTTCGTACAAGTTGGGAACAATTGTGGGATACATGTATGGACGATTCTCGAGAAGAATTCATTCTTTATAAATGCCCCGTATGAAGAAAATGCCGCAGACGAGTTATAATAGCATTTTAAGTGGAAAAGGTATCGTACTGCGAAATTTCATGATGTTTTGGGGAAATGAAGCGCAGAATCATCAGAAAATTCTCTCAGCAGGTTTCTGAAAAAAAAATTGCCCGCGCTTTTTCAAAAAGAACCGTGATGTGCCAGACATTCTTCCAGAAACGTGCAGCGAAAAGCATCATACGAGCAAAATGGCGTTTTTTCGAGTGAAAAAAATTATATTCTACATAGGTTGTTGGAAGATAGGAAAGAAATACTTGTACTGCTGTTCTCCTCTTGACAGGCGCGGAATCAATGATAAAATATTATTCTTAGTTTGATATTTAACCTTTAAAGATCATAAATTGCGAGATTAAGCAAAAAAATTGAATCGGAAATCTCTAATTTATTTTCTGCTTATACGTCGCAGAAGAACCCTCTTCGCATTCAAACCCGAACCCAAGCAGCAAATCAAAGCATCGGTAGCATCGTAGTTTCCATTCCTTTAACCGGGTGGTCTTTCATTCCAAAATAATTTGAGGAATCCACCGACAAAAATGGGCTAAAAAAACTGTGATATTCGTCTTAACGTTTTTTTAACTTCGGTACTAGATTCGAACCAGCGGCACATATTGAGCTGAATGACTTCACACTGTGGACGAGAGGCACTTTTTGCCTCGTACATAAAGCAACGGTGTACTGTACTTCAAAGGTGATCATTCACATGTTTTAACCCCGGCGTTACGATTTCTGACAAAGTTCGTCGGGAAACCTTCACGCAGTTTACGGTGACGCGAAAATAATCAACCGTTCGCATCACTAAAATACTGATGAACGCGAAAATTCAGGGATCAACTTTAAGAAATGGAGAAAATATAAAATCCGTCATTTTTCCGACATGATAATAAACAAAAGCGCGATCAGCCTTTTCGATCGTGATCACTTCTCGACACATATAAGCACAGATACAAATACTGTAAAGGGATTTGTTCCCCCATGTACTCATGGCAAGCATCGCCGATTCCATCAATACATTGTTCCAACAGAGATTCTCGACATTCACGAAAGACGCATTTCCCTAGAGAATATTACATTACCTAATGGATCACGGAGAAAGTAATGTGTTGAAAGCATTTCAAGGTCGTCCATGTTTTGTAAACGAGTTGCCGCGTCCACACCCCTATGGCATCAAGATCCCTAAGTGAGCTCTTTTATTCTGGTATGTTCAATCAAATATAACTCCTTTTTAGCATCTTTTAAATTCTTGTACGTGATGTATATTTTTAGTTCTCGAAGACATCCGTGAACAAGGAAGGGGTCGGTAATTAATCATGATCCAAGTGAGAAAGGTCACAACAACGGACCACAGAATGCTCTTTTTTCGAATACCCGTTAAACATTCACAAACGGTCAAAATTTCTGCAAAATAAAATTTTCAGTGCATCCATGTGCAGCTACTGTCGCTTTAAACCTTACTGATTTAGGTGAATGACCTCTTCACCGGGCTTCCATCAAAGACATAACATAGGCAAAAATAACAGCATTGAATTGAAAAGAGGAATATCAGCAAAAAGCAAGCATTTCAGTTTTCAGTTCAATAATTTAGACAGTAAAAAGCTTTCGAAATGAATTCATTACAATTACGCCAAAGAACATTACGTGCGCCAAATATAATATAACAATCCATAATTTATGTGCGCTTGGAACATTTACATCCTTCAAAAATCATGGCTTCCGAGCTTCTCAGCTCCTTTTTCCATAATTGTTTTCATTCATGTTTTCCATCGCTGATCTCATTAACTACGTACAACATCTAAAAGTATTTCGAATAATTTCAGAGACATCATCAGAATAATTATTTACACGCCATCAGCGTTCTCTTTGTGCTAGTGAAATTTAGTTTTGTGAAGTGAACGAATGAGATTTACTACATTCTTGCAAAAAAATAGCTAACACATACATGTCTCACACCAGAGATATTAAATCACATGTAAAGCCTTGCACTCGGGCGCTCTGAGTTCCGGCGAGCCAGGATACAATAAGACCTTTCACTCTTAAGCTTCTGACAATTATACGTCATAGTTGAAGTAAAGTAAACCTCGCAAGGCTTGCACAGTATTATTGAGGCAAAGCGAGCGATTGCAGTAAAATAATTTCCAAGTTATCCCTTTGCTGCCATGTGTGACTAAAAGTATTGATTAGCAGCAGCCATTTGGCATCAACTGTTGGATAATTCGATCGAACAACCGATAATTCCAGTGGCCCTCAAGTTGCGGACCTGCGAGCGTTTCAGGCACATGCACGGTAAGCAATCGGCAAAGGAGCTGATTCACTTCGAATGGAATCATACGCCAGCAGAAGGCTACTCAGGTAAGCATGAGAAGAGCATCGTAGTTTGAGCGTTGCGATCAGATAGCGACGATTCAAAGTCAGAAACAAGATGAGGCAAAACTTCAAAACATGCATCAAGTAACACGGAGGTGCTCCAAAATGCTCGGTTGGCGATTACAAATGTTCCGGAGCGCGAGTGGATTAATTAGTGGCTTTCACGACAAAGGGACCACTGTTCATGCCAAGCACATTACTTACTTCGGTCGGCTTCTTAATCGCGGAACTTTGGGAATCTAAGGGGGGCTTTTCACCGGGAATTGCACTCGGATTCAAGTGTAGTGTAGACTTGGTTATCTTGGCTGGCGTACCACAGGTTTTGTCGCTAGCCTTCTCGACCTTCGTGTCGTCCACCTTCTCCCCCTTCTGCTCGAGTTGCTGCTTTTGAAGCTTGATGTAATTGTCACGCCAGCTCGTGTATTTATCAATTAAAGATTGAATCTCTTTTCTATGCTCTGCTCGACCTTGATCTTCAGGTGTCTCAGCTTTCGTTTCTAATCGTTTCGTGCCCTGCTTTGGTGTTTCTGCCACTTTCGAGCTTGCATCGCTACCTGTCGTGCTCGACGTGGTTGTACTGCTACTCCTGCTGCTTTTTATGAGCTGTAAGCTCCTGTCTCGGGTCAATCTTGCGAGGGAATTCAAGTTAGTCTTCAACGAGCGACCAAGATGGCCTAGACTCGTGATGACACCTTTGGGTTTGGAGTCAGGGGGTGCCTTGGGTTCCGGACTCGGTCTTCCGTGCAACCTAGACGATGTGCTGAGGCTCGGCCGCAGCAAATCGAGCTTCTTAGGTTTGTTCCCCGCCTTGGTTGCGCAATGGTGAACATACGCTGTGTCATTATTGTAATCATCATCATCATCGTCATCGGCGTCTACCTTTGGTGGACTCGGTTTCTTCAAAACTTTTGGCGTGATTTTCACTCGAGTGCTCAAAACTGGACCATCAGCCACTGGCTTCACCCACATTCTGTTGTACCTCGTTGAGTTGTATCCACGAAGTCTCGACGTGTCCGTATCATGGAATGTGGGATTGCG